CATGCAGACCTGTGGGGGGCAGCATGCCAGTGTCTCGTTTCCAGTTTACCTAAACAACACACAGGAGCAGCCTCTACACTCCAGAGTCAACGGCATGTGAAGCGGAACATGCAGACCTCTTGGGGGCAGCATGTCAGTGTCTCGTTCCCAGTTTACCTAATCCACACACAGGAGCAGCCTCTGCACTTGCCAGCAGCCTCAGTGGCAAGGTGTTAAGCGACCCTGGTTGGGGACTCAGAACTTTAGAACTTTCTGGCCTCTGGACTCATGAACTGGCGAGACCTCACATGGAATATATATATATATATATATTTATTAAAGGCACTGCCAAACAAATAAAAGCAGGGAAAACTGAAGGGGGAGCATTTATTGAATGAAGGGCACTTTACTAGAGGAAATCTGTAGTGACAAGGCTCTGTTTCCCTGAGAGAGCGCCACAACCCATACAGTGTAAGGCAGCCAGTACCTCAGCTGAATCAACTCAATCTTATTGATATGAGGTGTCTCTGGGTGCAGTTCAGGGAGGCCGGAGTGACTAAAAATTGAGGGGAGAACCATGTGAAAGAGGGAGACAGTGGAGAGTGAGGCTCCCACATTTGTGTATACTCTTCCCTTACATCCGAGGGTGAACCCTGAACAGTGCATGCAAAGAGAAGATTGTAAGGATCTGGTGAAAGCAGAGGTTTTAGCTCATGTTCACTGCAAAACCATGCTTAATTTTGAATTTCACCACGTTAGGAAGACCAGATAAAAATATAAGGCTTCTCACCAGAAGCCCAGGAGAGGGTCATGCCTTGAAAGTAAATATTTTACTGAGGTATTGCCTTGAGAATAAGGGCAAAACCTAAGAAGTCTCATACTAACCAGTGTAAAAACTAAGACATCACTGGTTAAAGGTGACCAGACAGTAATGTATGTGCCTGCTAGAACACAAACACTGTTCGTAAGATCACAAAATTTTATTTCATCTGCAATGTTCAATATAGTAAAAAATTACCAGGCATGTGAAAGTAAATAAACAACAAACCAGAAAAATATAACCCAAGGTCAGCTGAAAAAATAATCAATAGAAGTAGACTATGAGATAAGATGGATGTTGAAATAAGGAGAAAAGAACTTTAAGCAGCTATTACAATAGGTGTATGGACTTAATATGGTCATAACAAATGATTACATGGAAAATATCAGAGGGAAATGAAAAGTGTAAAAGGAAGCAAATAGAAATTATAGAACAGGAAAGTGTAACATATGAAATGACCAGTTCCTTGGACACTTCCATTTCTTCCATGAAGAAGTAACAGGTATTGGGATATGCACTCCCATCACAAACAAGTAGGAGATGAGGCAAAATATGTGGCAGAAAAGGATAGGACTGTGGTCTCAGACAGAAAGGAAAGAAACAGGGACAACCTTAATATTTTCACAGCTTTGTACCTCCAGATAACTTTATGGTGCAGCCTAGGGTAACCTGAACATTGCTGAATCACATCCCTGAGTTGAAAAGACTGAAGCACTCATGGAAGCTGAATGTTTTTTTTTTTTTTTCTAGAGACGGAGTCTCCCTCAGTCACCCACGCTGGAGTGCTGGAGTGCGTTCACTGCAACCTCTGCCTCTCGAGTTCAAGCACTTTTCCTGCCTCAGCCTCCCAAGTAGCTGGGACTAGAGGCGCCCACGGCCACACCCGGCTAATTTCTTTTGTATTTAGCAGAGATGGGGTTTCACCATGTTGCCCAGCTGGTCTCCAACTCCTGAGCTCAAGTAATCAGCCAGCCTCGGCCCTTCAAAGGGCTAGGATTACAGGCGTGAGCCACCAAATATTAGTAAATTCAGCACATCTATGAAATGGATAATATATCATGACCAGTTGTGATTTATCCCAAGATCACAAGGTTGATTTACCTTTAAGGGTCATTCAATAGAATTCATCACATTAACACAAACAAGAAGAGAGAGAAAACATGATTATCCGAAAACACTTAAAAACATTTCACAACTACTAAAATGAGTAAGTGAGGTAGTAAGGTCACAAAGTACAAAGGCCATATAGAAATTAAATTTATGTGTAATACAAAACAACTGGAAAAATAAATTTTAAAAATCCATTTATGATAGTGTAAAAGACATCAAATAGGCCAGGTGAAGTGGCAGGACCTCATGCCTGTAATCCCAGCACTTTGGGAGGCCAAGGCAGGCAGATTGCTTGAGGTCAGGAGTTTAAGACCAGCCTGGCCACAATAGCAAAACCCTGTCCCTACTAAAAATACAAAAATCAGCCCGAAGCGGTGGTGCATGCCTGTAGCCCCAGCTGCTCAGGAGGTTGAGGTGGGAGGAGGACTTGAACCTGGGAGATGGAGGCTGCAGTGAGCCAAGATCGCGCCACTGCACTCAAGCAGTCCAGCCTAGATGAGAGAGAGAAACATTTTCTCAAAAATAACAACAAAACAAAAAACACACACAAAAAATCAAATGCTCAAGAAATGTGTTGACACACTAAAAAGTGTAAAATACTGGACCAAAGTAAAGAACACTTAAATAATGGAAACATACATCACATTCCCAGAAAGAGAGTCATTATTAAAATATTTACTCTATGCATTTTGATGGATTTATTCACTGCACTTTCACTCACCATTCCAACACAAGTTTTAGAGATTTCAACAAGCTGATTTGAAAAGTATATGGAAAAGCAGAAGACCTATAATAAACAAAATAATTTTGCAGAAGAAAATGATGGAGTATTCACATTACCTGATTTCAAGGCTTACTATGAACGACAGTAACCAAGGCAGTGTGGTTTGGCATATGGATAGACATATAATCAAACTGAATCCCATAGGGAATTCAGGAATGCATCCATGTATATATGATTAACTGGTGGAAAGGAAAGTCTTTTTAATAAATGATGAGTACACAACATGGAAATAAATAAGCCTCATTCCTTTAACCACATTGCAGTTACCCTCAGATGAATTATAGACTTCCGCATAAAAGCTACAATTATAAAGCTTCTCGAGGAAAATATCCTCAGTATCTAGAGGTAAGCCACAATTTCTTAGGAAGCACCAAATATCAAAGAAAAAATGATAAATTGTACTTCATTAAAATGTAATACTTTTGTTCATCAAATGACATTATTAAGAAAATGAATAGGGAAGTCATGGACTGGGAAAAAATATTTGTAACACAAATACATGGAAAAGAACTTGTATCCAGAATGTGTAAATAACTCTTACTAATCAGTAACAAGAGACCATCCAGTTTTTAAAAAGCAAATATGTGGTCAATTCACAGAAGAAACTATGTGGATGGCCAATAAGCACATGTAAAGTTTCTCGACATTATTAGTCATAAAAGAAAATTCAAGCCAAAATCACAGGTTATCCCAACTAGAATGGCTAAAACCACAAAAACTGGAAACCTCAAATGTTGGTGACAATGTAGAGTGACTGGAAGTCATTTTCCTTGCTGGCGGGAGTATGAAATTACACAACTTGAATATTGTTTAGCAGTTTCTTATAAAGTCAAACAAGACAAGTCTTTTACCCAGAAATTAGACTTCTAGGTATTTCTCCAAAAGGACACAAACATTTACACAATAATATTCATTCTCTCAAGTGAAAAGCAGATAAACAAAATATGGCATATTCATACGATTGAATACTGCTCAGCCATAAAACGTGAACTGAATAATACATACGTGGATGAATCTCAAAAACATTATCCTTAGTGAAAGAAACCAGATTTAAAAAAAATATCACATTCTGTATGATTCCATTTATATACATCTCAAGAACAGGCAAACATAATCTATGATAATAGGGAAAATTTTCATGCAATGATGATATTCGATTTAATATGATTTCTTCTTTGGGATGGTATATTTAGATTATAAACTTTCTTCTGGACTGTTTCTTGTTAATTTTTGACATTTCTCTGGCTAAGAGGAAGCATACAGATTTGAAACATGATGCTCTCTCTTCAGTAACTATCTCATTTTTATTATATTTCAATGGCATCAAAATTGCTAATGAGGCAGTTGATTAAAAATAATTTTTAAACTACCTTTCAGCATTTAAACTCCTAAATATTGCATTTAAAAAAGGCTCTGGGACTTTTAAGAGCATGATCTACTGCACCAAGTATTTTTGTAAGAAACCCTAGTCAGTTAACCCATTTGTCAACGCGATATATGTACCCTAACATTCTTAAGTGCATATTCACTATTAGTATGTTGATGCAAAATCATCATCTACCTTGTCAGCTGACTGATTCTAAAGCACAGACCACATCGTTTGATACTCACCGATGATTATTGGCTGCGGCTCACTTTTTACTCCAACCCCTGCACTGGTACTAGCTGCAACCTCTACCCGGTATTGAATACCTGGGAACAATCCACCGATTATTACAGACCGAATGGCTGCGTCCACAGTTTTGTTGATATGGAATCGTGTTTCATTTCCTAGACACCAGATCTGCAGAAATGGAAAGTGAATAACAAAGTGAATAACACAGGGACATAATATTATCGTTTCTGGTAACAAGACTACTATAACTGATTAAATATTTTGTAATTGTAACCTATCTATCTTCTAGGCTTACCGGAGTTTTGTAAATGACATCTTCTAAAGTCCAACCTCTGCAGTTTATTTATAAGTGTGTATGTAAGTGTGTTTGTGTGCACGTGCACCTGTATTAAAAGAAGGACAATGAGGGAAGCTGTAACTATGCCATGTTCATTTATATCTTATTCTCAGCACTGAAAGCTCATAATGAGTAATTTAGAAAGCACAGTGCCTTCTTTAACACCCCTGGTGTGTGGTTTTGGATGCAAATGCCATTTTTGTGTGGACTAAAACACATAATTTCCTCTGCTTTATTTATCAAGATTTATTATGCATAAAATCCACTAAAATATGGTGATTATAAGTTGCAATATCTAAGGTATATAGGTAGACATCTAAGTAATTTATATTTCATTTAAGAAAATATTAACTTGCACAGAAGTAGTTAACAAGATTAATTGACCTAAGTTATAGGTATTGACTAAAATGAAATTAAAGCCAATACTTACGGTGACAGCAATAAATCTAATATTGATCAACACATATCTACACACACATACACATTCATGAGAACAAAGTGGTGGCAAGTCTCTCGACACGGACGTTAAGGAAGTTAGGCTTTTATTTCAAGCAGGAATCAAATTTTAAGGCATCTTCTGGGATGTGGAAATTGTTCCTATAAAATGTGTTATGAAAAGAAATCCATTGTGTATCCACATTTGTGTTCGTATTATATAATATTTTAAAATCTACATGTGGACACATATGCAGGAAAACATATGATTTGTTTTGGAGCAGGTAAGTTCCCAAATTTTTTCAGTAAAAAATAATTCTTGTGAATCATGTGTTTCTTTTATTGACATATGATATCTGTGTTCTTAGTGAAGGAATATTTAGCTCTTACCTACATATGCGCTTTGAAACCAAAATAGGACAAGTCTCTAGAGAGTGAGAACGTATACTTATGAAAAAACAAATTCCTCACGTTGTAAAAAAAAAGTAACAATATTTAACTACATGGAAATGTAGGATCTTTAGTGCCAAATGGTACAAAAATAAATTCCTAACCTCATTAAAACACACACACACTCAAGCTCACACGGAGTAGATAATTTGTTACTCTATTAAAACCATGTCCTAATGCTTATAAAATCTTAGAACCTATATAATTATTGTATTGTAAAAGCATTGATTCTTATGTTTCTTAAGCATGTGTCTTATAACATGATGTGTCATTTTAAAATAAATCTGTATACATTTAGTCCATTCATTTGCTTTAGCAAGTTGATCTTTAATAAAATTCGATGTAAAAATTAATGTTTTCTTAGAAATTAAATTTAATCTGCAAACTTTTTAGTAAAATTATTCAGCTTAATATTAAATACCAACTCTGAATTTTTTAGGTGAAATGGGTGTCTAGTTTTGTATTGTATTAGATGTACAGAATATGCTGTTTTCAGAAATCTAGAAATATTCATTAATAGATGATACTAACATCATTTATTAATAAATTATAGTTTTAAATTTTACAAAGATTAATGAGGGGTTTTTCATTCACATGCGGTCTAATCACAACACAAACGGAATCTTATTTTGAAAACTTCGACATACTTACTATGTTAAACACCAAATGATGGCAATGAAACAATAGATATTATTGTTTCTAAATAGCCAAAAATTCAGCAGGTGAAAAATGAGATAATCAACTGGTTTTTCTGTAAGTCAGTATTTTGCAAAATATGTTGTTTCAGTGGCTTTTTTTCAGGTGAAATAATCTACACAACCTCAGTCAACAGACAAAAGTAGCATCTGGAGTGAGGGTTGGTGCTGCCCACAACCCACTCCACCTCTTTAACTCCGAAGCCTCTATTTTTCTGAGAACGTGGTTTAAAAAATAGCTGCCTTACAGCCTCTTATGCAGAATTCTAATAACAAAGATAAAACCCATTTTCTGGGCTTCACCACCTACCCTCTGCCCCATCTCTTTAAATCCTTGAGGTTGTAGAATCACACCATACAGAAAACCATTTCACTGGTGTGGTTTAATTGTTCAGCTGGATCTGTGTGATCTGTGACCTGGAACTCAGGTTCTAATACCTATGCATTTGTTTCATTATCTGTCACACAGAAATATAAATAAAAACTTTACACTTAAACTGAATAAGAGAACCTTTAGAGATGTTCCTCATTCGTGAGGCCCTGAGATTTCTCTGAGAACCTTTATACAAGGGCTGTCCTTCTTCACCCGGGTCCTACCTTGTATTCTTGGAGAATTCCATTCTGGTGATCTGGAGGAGGGGGATCCCAGGAAACGCTAATACTTGTGCTATTGTAACTTCCAACTGTCAGTACAGTGACGGACTGTGGAGGGGCGCTTGGGGCTGTAGAGGAAGTAATGAGAATAAATGCAAACTGTGAGCCTTGGTGCGCGTTAGTGCTGCTTCCAGAAAATGAATAGAAAGACCAGATGCAGGAGGCTCTGGCTTCCAGGAGTTCTGAATGCACACGCTGTTCAACAGTGACAGGTTTTTTTGAGAAATATTCTTTAAATACAATATCTAGATTTAAAGCAAACGCAACAGCTTTTGTAATATGCTCTCAATAATAAATTTAACAGCTAACGTTCTAATACGTGTTTTCTATACACCCCGCAAAGAGCTAAGTGTCAGGTTTAACTCTCGCATTAACCTCAGGAGGTAGAAACAACCGTTATCTCGGTTTTACAGATGAGGAAACAGAAGGTTACTGTAAGAGACTTAGGAAAGTCAAACAGCAAGTCAGAATCTGAGCCTGTGTATGTCTGATTTTACAACTCTACTCTAACAGGCTGTCTTTCTAAAAACAACCACAACTACTTCTAACCAAAATTATTCGGAGAAGATATATTCCAGTGTTTATCATGTGTTATTTCTGAATGGTGGCATTATTGACAGCTTTTTTGGTATGCTTTTAGTTTGTGCTTACTAAATAAAAACAGAAACATAGCTATAAATGTCATCAACCAGAAAAAACTTCTTTTTCTTCCCATACTGGGAAAAATAATTGACTGCTATCAATTGACCTGTAAGTTAAGACTGAAAACTTCTTTTATACGGATGGGAAGGGACTCTGATGATAAAATGAACACAGTTCATGCTGGGTCAAATGTGAAATGGGAAGATTTTGATTTCCTACATTAATTCTCTGCCTTTATAGTTTCTCCTATAACTCGCTACAACCATCCTGAGAAAAGGCAAGAGGGAAGCTCTTCCTGATTTTAGACTGCCACATCTCTCATTTAAAGTGTCTGAGAACTAAGAAGTAATAACTTTGTGGAAAAATTCATCTATTCTCAGTGAGTCTCTGAATTAAAACCAAAGGTAGGAGTAGTTAAAATTATAGTATTACATAACATACTTCTTGACAGTTTAAAATACCAAATAATTTTGTGGTATTAATGGCTTATATAGAATAATCAATGCTTGCACAGCTTTACACTGTTTAGTTTTTTGAAACTATCCTAAATATCCTAAAATGTATTTTAAAAGCCTGACAGCAGATATCCCATGTTTTGTAAATATGTCATGACATATTTCACTTAAGTATAGCCATATTTGCATCGAGATATAGGACACACACAGAAACATGTTAACACAATACTGTTCTTTTCTATTCCTCTTTGTGACAATATTGCTCCAAAATATGGTATGATGACATAAATCCAACCACTTGTCTACGAGCCTTGTAGTTATTAAGTAGACTGCATTGAAAAATAAGACTTTTAGAATGGGTTTCTCATTCACCTTGCTGCTGTCTTGGCAAGAACACCGTGCCTGCTTCCTGACAGGTCAATTATTCCAGGACTCAGCTTCTTTCTACAGATGTGAAAGAACCCAAATCGCCACTCATCGCTCCCAGACACAGCCCGGCTGAGTTCCATTTGTTACCGTCACACAGCCACAGAAATTGGAGATGAATGTATACCCAACAGTGACAAATGTCTAATCCAGAGGAAAAGTCTAACTGCAGTGAAATTGATTTTGGAAACAGGCTTCAAACAGAGCATTCTGTGTTAAGGTTACCTGCTCCACTCATTAATACGACCAATTTGCAACACAGAGTGAAATTTAATGATGAATAAAGATATGATGATAATGATTATTATTTTTAAACATGTTAGCAAGGAGAAAAGATACTATTATAATTACTGGTAACTTTTCAACATATCCTAAAAATAGATTAATAATTCCTTTTTAAATATGCATTTTTGCCCCTGCCAGTGTATCACACTGCAAAACACTGGGAAGATGACATTCTTGCTGTGTTGTATAAGAAATGTGTAATTTAAGAGCTCCGTGGTCAAGCATATAGATGTTAACATGGGCAACCTATATACATTTTCTTAAGGCTTCTAAATATGTTTAGAGAAAGAGCTTTCTATAAGAGTTGTGAGCACAAAATTGATACAAAAGCAGAGTGGAGGGATGTATTTCATTTGGTATCTCCTTTTTTTTTTTTTAAACTTTGATGACAACATTTATTATAAGCCTCTTGTTTAGTGAAAGAGATACCACTAAATGAACTGGTGGAAACCTACAGTAAGCTCATGTTCATCGTAGATTGACTTTAACATTCCTTTAGGTAAGAAAAGGTCCAAAATGGGGAGAAAGAGGGAACTGCCCACAGGAGAAAGTGGCTAATAAAAGACAATGCCACAGTTAACTATAACAAAAAGAGTAGTCACAATGAACAGCCTGTGTTCTCAAATTTCCGTTTCTCAAAACTCCAAATGAACCAAATCTACACAAAATATAGGGGAATATTTAATTATCCAATTCAAGTGAACTGAAAAACATGGATTTGGTGCAAAAGTTACTTAAGAAAAATTCAAATTACATTAGTGCCCTTTTTTTCTGCTTGTCAGAGTCTACAGACTTCTCAGAATAAAAGAAGAAAATGACACTTCCTCAATTTACTTTTAGATGATATCTTTCCATTCTTCTAAGGAAGATAATAAATAGGTACTGTAACAGAAATTAGCTTCATCATGATACAAGTTTGATTTATATTCGAAATCTGAATACTGACCTTCTTCAGTAGTACGAACCGTTTTAGATTCACTATCCATTCCTTGGAACTCATTAAAATATGGCCGTACTTTAATTTCATAAGTCACCCCCTTTTTCAGGTTGACTAAGACAGCACTTCGTTCAGTCGGGACTTTGGCATCTAAATTCTGCCACGAAGATGTCGCCTGCAGACCTGAAGTCTGACGATACATCACTCGGTAGCCTTGGATAAACTGGGGTTGGCGATCAACCTGAAACACATGGTAAAGGGCATTGGAAACTAAAGGAAGGTATTTCAGACATCACAGTGAATTTGTCCTCTTTTCAGTTGTCCCTATTTCTGTCCTCATCTTAGTCATGTTGTGACTTTCTAGCTAATCTCTCTGCTTCCCTTCTAAGAAGTCCTATCCTGTCAGAGTTCAGATTGCTCCCAAGATTATTTCCAAAATGAAGACTGGAAGAACTCTCTCTCCTGTTTAGAATACCGCACAGTACCTAAGATACCTACCGAATCCATTCAGATTCCTTGGATGAGCACAAGGCCTCTCAAAGGTCAGATCTGCCGATATCTCTAGCTTTATGTGCTGATATCTCTACAGCTTTATGTGCTGATATCTCTAGCTTTATGTGGTCTCCTCGGCTGACCCTTTTTCTGCATCCAACAATTCTCTTTCATGTGGCTTTATATGTAATATGCCCTTTGTCAGGGATTTCCATTCTTATCCTGTGTCTATTCCCTAACATCGTCACTCACTCAAAACACATATTTCGGGTTCCTACTCATAGGTGCCAGAAATTCTGCTGAGCTCTGGGGATAAAATGCACAATGAAAATAGAGTCAGTCCCTGCCCTCATGAGCTGAGGTGAGAAGATGGAGTCCAGGTGGAGAGTAGGAGTGGTCTAATAATGACTAAACCATGGTCAAGTTACAATCATAAAAAAAAAGCATAAACAAGTGTTAAGAATCAGAGGTGCCAGCTGCTAATAAAGCCTACAGGGGAGAGAAAGTGCCTGAGTTGGGGAGACAAAGCTTCCATGAAGAGCTCCTAAGTGCTCAGATAGGCAAGAAGAGCAGGATTTACCCAGGAAAGCAAATGTGAGGACATCATGGATAAAATCCCTGTGGCTGGAAAACGCATAAAACAGAGATTGAAGTTCTAGAGCTACAGCATTTGTTTTAAAAGCATATGAACACTTACACCCATTGCCAAGTAGTAAATGAAAAACTTCTACGAATTTACCAACTTCTGACTCTTCAATTGTCCCATTCTTGACACAATTTGACAACTTTTTTGATATCTTCATTTTTTTAAGGTACAGTAAGAAGCTATCTTAAATAACGATCTAAGATTAAACTCATACCAAATAGAACTTCTAAAAAGTGTTTTTGTTTGCTATTGACAATCACTTAAAAATCAAATATACATAAATGCAAGATTAAAAAATTAAATATATTCTTTTCTGTATACATTTATTTTAAACTATTTACCAGGGTTTTATGGCTGTTTCATTTCCAAGGAGAAAACAACCATGGATTTTAAAAATTATTTTTAAAAATTAAACATCTTTGAATGCTTTGTCATGTTTTTAGAAACACTTGATTTAAACACAAACTATGATGGCACGTTCCAACTAATATCCTTTATCATAGTTTAATAGCTATAGTCTAAGAAGCTTTAATTTGACATACTTCATGTCAAATAAAGTGTAAAGATTAATGGAAAAGAATGGAATAACCTCATTTCAGGAAGTTTGTAGAGAAAGAGGAAATAAAAAAGAGGATAATGGAGATGGTTATTAATTTCAGCTGTAAACAAATTTCTTTATCGAAGAAATTTGAAATTTGTTCAGCATTTGAAATTTGTTTCAACATTCGTTGAAATGTTGAGATTTGTCAGCAGGTTATAAACAAAGCATATTCTTTCATGTATTAACTACTAACATCTCTTCTTTAGTTGCAGTACTGTTTTATTTATTTTTAATCGAGGGCAGCAAATGAATATTAGCTAAAAATATTGGCTTTAGAAAGTTAAAAATGCAGAGCCTCAATAAAAACACAGTGGAACAAAAGGAAATATTTAGAATGTCCAAACGAGAGAACTCCCTAAATTAAGTGAGTCTGTGTGTGTGTGTGTGTGTGTGTGAGTGTGCGTGTATTTCTGTGTGTGGCTAATTCCAGTTTCCCAGATACGTCTCAACAAGTATGAATTCCTTCACCCGCCTGACAGCTGTCTCACCCTCAAAGACTTTCTGGAGTTAGTGCTACACTTGTATGAGGTTAGATCAAAAAAAAAGTGAGCCCAGGTGTAACATGGAAGCTGGTGATTGGCAGGTCCTCATTCATGCTACCAGTTTATGTTTCTACCATTGGACACATTTTTTGAAAAGCAGGAGTTTTTCTGACACTATGAAATAAGGCAACCAAGAGGTGAAAAGTTAAATTTATGACAGTCAAAGAGGGACGACTTTCATCAAAACTGTCAGTGTTCAGAAAAACTCTTGCAGTATATGTTAAAACAACATTAAACCTGCATTTTATAAACTTCTCTGCATTTGCTTTAAGTGAATTTATATACTGAAAGAAAGACATAACTCACAATAATAGCTTGTTAATACTGAAAGAAGCAAGCTGTATTTTTAAGAAGAACATTAAGCAGCTGTTTCCAGATGAAGGGAGTCTGTAAATCAGGGTAAATTGGTTTTATCCATGTTTGGTTTTCATTAATTAAGTGTTTTAGGGACTTTATGAAGCTAATGTTTACTACAAAACATTGTTTTGCTTACTTCAGTGTACACTATCTTCAGCCAGTATATAGTATGGGGCTTCTTAATAGTTAAATAGTTTAACTTGATTGTGTGCAGTGGCAATGCATTTTTTTTTTTTTTCAGGAGGAAATTTGTTGTTACAGGTGGAAGCAGAAATGAAAATGTTGAACATTTACTTAAAAAAAATAGGTGAGATTTTTACTGGATGTGTGTTCTACCCCACTAAATTTTGGAGCTCATTTTGACAGGTGGTCATTTTCAAGTTAGGCCATATGTTTGTTGTAAGTTTTATTAACATTCTGATTGTAAGAAGGAGGATTTTCTTTTAGGGTTGATTACAATCAGAGTCTGACCACAGATTCATGGGTTTATATAATTTAAAAAAATTAGTATTTTCTGAAACAGGAATAAAAAAAAAAGAGTTGCCTTAAGGAAAAAGTAAAATGATTACAAAACCTTCAGACTTCCAGTCCTAGGTCTCAATTTGAATTATACTTCAACCTCTTAAACTTTCTGAGCCTCAGTTTACTTAATTTGCTCACCTGATACCCACATCTCAAGGGCACAGAAAGAATCAAATGACTGATATAACTGAAAGCATTTTGCTGGCTTTAGAGATGCACAATGAAAAAACATAACTGTTAAGGAAGCAACAGGCTAAAAGAGAAGAGGGCTCCTATGTGGCCCTAAAGTCAGCATTTTAGTTAAACTGTTTACGTGTGATGCTTCATATTTACCTTTTCCATTCACAAAACAAAACAACATAACAACTCGATAGAAAGCGAAAATTCAGTGAATTTTCTTTGATGGGTTTAGCTGCTAAGGGTCTGATCTGGTTTTAGCAGACTTCTGAAATTCTAGTTTGTCAAAGCACTCTTTTCAATCTCTGTGGAATAATGCTGAATGGGCAAAGAGTATGTAATTCTTTTTGTCCTTAAACAAAACAAAGACAAAACATAAAACGAGAATAATCATTTTTCAGTAAGTGACTTATTGCTATTTTTCTTTGTGGAACAGAAGGTTTCTTACCATTTTTGCCTACACGCATTCTAAAAGCAGCCATTTTAGAAAGTAGCTGTTGCTAACTATTGTTGCTTCAAGGTTAGCCTGGTGAGGGTGGGGGCAGCAAATGGCCTCTCCAGTAGTTACGTCTTGGGCCTTTGATTATTAATCCTGCCAACCACTGGGAAACTTTCTCAGCTGGCCCAAAACCTAATCACATGGTGGGGAATTATTTATCCCTTCAACCCCAACACTTCTGTAAAGCAAATGCTAATATTTTGATAATTTAAATAACACATGCATTTAGTAAATTGAAAATATTACATCAATAAAAGAGTTACACAAATTCTTTGACCACTGGGCACACCCCAGTCTGACTTCATTTCACTTAATTTACCTCTTTCAAATGCATACTTATGGCAAGTGCAACTACAAAGTCATGGAGAACAATATGCAGTGATATTAACTGCATTCTTTCTTTTATTAAAAAAAAGTGTAAAATGTATGAAAACAACTGATTTGATCATTCAACAAACAGTTATTAAAAGAGTACTTCACAATAGACACTCTGCTCTGAAAAAACAGAAATGAAAGAAATTGACTGTAGCCTCACAGAAGTTACAGCCCATGATGGGGACAGATGTGCAAACTAGTAATGATACCTTCTTGGGGTACAGGGATGGATGGACAACGTCCCCCTCCTGGAAGAACTCCCAGTCTACTGTCCTGCAATTTTGATCTAATGCTATTTACTCTTCAAATTCAGTGACTTAAAGTGATTAACTTCATAAACATAATGACGTTGATTCTTACCCAAAGAATTCCCACATTTAGATACAGCTTAAAAGAATCCCCCTTATAACTTTCAACAGAACAGAGACTTTTTTTCATATGAGAATGAGGAAAAATACGCTATGAAAAATACAGGGTTACTTTGGCTTTGTTAGTTTGGTATCTACTCAAGGGTACTGAAAGATAAAAAAGGCATGGCAGAAATACCCCCTACTGTGCCACTGGAAAAATGATAAGGTAATTGTGTTCCCTTCATGGGAACACAAGAATAGAAACCAACACATGCAAAAAATAGAATAAATCTATGCAAAATTATATCAAAACTGGAATAAGAAAGTGTAATCCTAAATAACCATAATTACTCTTAAAACATTATAAACTTAGTCTTATTTTTAAATGTATATATAACCCAATTTTGTACTCATAAACCAAGAATTTGACTGATCATATAGTTTGCTTTAAGGAGCAACAATATGGAACGACAACAACAAAAGCCTGAATAGCTAAGGCAATCGAAAGCAAAAAAGAAGGAAGAAGGAGGCACCATGCCACTGAACTTTAAACTACACAACAGGGCTACAGTAATCAAACTGGGAGAAAATGTTTGCAAATTACATATCCGATAAGGCATTTGTATCTAGAATATATAAACACTTATAAGTCTATAATAAGAAGACAAACAAAATAGAATATATAAACACTTGTAAGTCTGTGAGAAGATAAACTCTTTGCCCAAAAATGAACAAAGAGTTTCAACAGACATTTCTCTAAAAACAAAGTTCTATTAGCACATGAAAAGATGAACATGATTAGTCATGAAAGAAATGCAAATCAAAACCACAATTATATACCACTACATACCCACTAGAATGGGTATAATCCAAATGGCAGATAATAATAAGTGTTGGCAAGGATGTGAGAAAAAATGGCAAGGATTTGGGAGAATCTGGAACATTGAAACATTGCTTGTGAGAATAGAAAATGCTATAGCCACTTTGGAAAGCATCTCAGCAGTTCATCAAAATATTAAATGGAAAGTTACCAATATTACTGAACAATTTGTAGGTTTATACGAAGATAAATGAAAACACGTGTCCATACAAAGACTTGTACTCAAATGTTCATGGCAGCATTATTCAAAATAAACAACCCGAACATCCATCAATTGATGAAGGCATAAACAGAATGTAAAGTAGATAAAATGGAATACTATTTGATAACAACAAGAAACGAAGTCCTGACACATGCTACAAAAATGGATGAACCTCAGTAACATTGGGCAGAGTGAGAGAAGCTAGACACAAAAGACCATATATTGCACAATTCTATTCATATGAAAGGTCCAGCATAGGCAAACTGCAAAAACATAGAGTAGACTAGTGTTACACAGGGCTACGGTAGGGGAAATGAGAGAATCAATGCTAACAGGCACAGGATTTCATTTGGGGACGATGAAATGTTCTAAAATTAGATTTTGGTGATAATTTTAAAACTCTACACTAAAAATCATGAAGTTGTTCACTTTATGGTATCTTAATTATATTGCAAGAAAGCTGTGTGAAAATTCAGAAGACAGAATATGCCATGTTTATATAATAATTGATGTATTCTTAACTATGTTTATTCTAGTAACTTTTTAGTTTATTGATTTTCTTTACTGTCATTGATTATACCTTGATTTTAAATGGTGAGAATTTTTATGATCACTTTTTGTTAATTTGCATTTTCCATGTTTTGCTTTCCCTAAAGAGAAGAGATTACTATTAATATTGCCTTTGAAAACTTACCGTCCATGTGACCTGAACAGTGGTGGGAGTCAGTACAACTGGATTATGAAGACGGACAAGGACATCTCCTAGTTCTTTCTGCACTTGCCTGTGGTCCACTCCTTGTGCTGGTGGGCTGATATCTGCAGTTGGATAAGATAATCATTCCCAATTTTTAAAAATGCACATTAAAATTACAATTTATTTCATGTACATCAACATCATATCTTTAGAACTAATTACAGGGAAACAAAACTAAAACTCTTTTTGTGACAAAAAGCATTTAAGCCTATATATATAAATATACCACTGTGGTAGGACATAATGAGAGATGATATTGATCTTTACTAAAAATATATTAATAAAAGAGTATTTATAATCCCTCATCCCCATTCAAATGCAGACACACTGTTGAATAAGGTCGTTTATTTTCTTACTAAAGGATAAAGTATGTGCTGTAAGACTTCTCTACAGACGTCTAGAAAGATCTCTAGAAAGATCAGCTTTGTATAGATGTTGCTGTATTGAATGATTTTCTGGATTTGTAAATTGGAATATATCTAAAAACTGAAGCTAAGGAACCTGTTAATCCCTTGTCCCAATTTGCAGGTTGTGTTTTCTTCTTGACCTACTTCAGTCTGGGAGCATGGATGGAGAAGTAACGGCGGACCAGGAAAGTGAATTCTGTCATTAAAGGTAAACAGAGTTGGGGGAAGAGGGGAAGCAGCTCCTCAAATTTGCAAAGATACGTTTGACAGAAATAGTTATAATACTGATAACATGTTCTAAAGCAATACATTTTGAGCAGTACTCTAATACCCGACATGAGGTCATGTAGCCATTTTCAGGAATAGTGGTGGGGTGAAGGGAAGAAAAAAGGTGTTGTTTAAAATATTACACCCTCAGTCACATACTGTTATGCCACCTTATTCATCAGTCTCCCGAGTACTATTCTATTTCTCCATACGATAGTTTATATTCTGGGTCCATTAAGAAAAAAGGATAAATTATAGGCAGCTAAGTCCATCAAATTGATATTAAACACTGAATTTTACACTTACTCAAATTAACTTTTTAAACTGGTACACAATGTTGTAATTGTTTTTCTCCAACTAGTGCATTTAAGAAAGGAAGTCCAATTTAAAGGTATTTATTTTCTTAATCTTGTTTTTTCTTATTATCTCAGGCTACAATGCATGCAGCACTCTTGCAAAAGTATTTTTAAGAAAATTTCTCAGCTATTACTTAAATTGGGTGCACTAACTTAAATTGGGCCACAAGTAACTGAGAATAATACTTCGGTAATGTTTTTCCAGTTCTACTTTTTTTTTTTTTTTTCACTTTTAACATAAACAGTAAAATGAAGATTTGCTTAATTTGGGAAAAAGTCCCTTTATGTGAATAATATTAATCTATGCCTATATATGTATGTTCTGTTTTGATGTTGATAATGCAAGTATTTGTACTTTAATGAAATAAAAGATTTCTAGATTCTCTGTTATTTAATACCTTTGAAAAATAAGAGCTCACAAAGCAAAGTGTTCCTTGAAAAAGAAGTGCTTTGCAGATTGCAAAGCTGCTGAAAGTATGGTATCCAAAAATAATCCTGACCTTCAGACACAAAACATGAGTTTTCCTGTTAAATATTTGTTAAGAGCACATAAGTCTTTCACTCTATATATTCTTTCCATTGGAACAAACCAGACCACAAACAACTTTTCATTAATCTTTCTTGACCTTTTCACTGGGAGTTATTTTATGAGTCAAGATTTAGTGACTAGCATAGTTATCGAATGATCAAAAAGGTTTGCCAGATACAATCACACCAAATATCTTCCTAGTCTGATCTCTCTTTGCCTTTCGCTGGCTACACACAAAAACTATTTCTATCCACAAAGGTATAAATGATCACGGTACTACAATTTCTTGACTTAGAATTGTACACATCTTCCATTTTACGTTCAATAATAAAATTTACACACTTTATTCAAACACCGTAAAAAGCAACCAGATTTAAGGAAGTTAAAATACAACTAGGTTCAAATTTCAGATTTTCACATTCCTTGTTGTGCTTTTTCTTTCTCAAGAGACAGGTTCTTTACCTACAGGCCCTTTATCATCATGGAAAATTAATCACATTACTGCTTAGAGAACAATAGCAAAATGGCATTCCCTCCTCCCTTGACTGTCATCATGTCAGCAACGTTACAAAGTCACGTGGTGACTTTATTTCGCTGGATTCCTTTAAGGCGCCCTTCTCTCTTATAATAGCATGCTAGTTACTATCACTGAACTACATTGTAATTATAATAATATTTTATGGCTGTATGGTGCTTTTCATTGCATAAAAATACTACTTTGAATTATATCTTGTTCAAAGTCTTTTACAAATAAGAAATAATTAACCCTTTCTGAATAACCCTGTGGGAAGTAGGGAAGTAGGTTATAACAAATAATAAAATCACCATTTCTATTTTATTAATTTCTTTCACCTACTTGTCAGAAGGGAAACTATAATGTAGCATTGTGTATTAAACCTCAGACTCCAGTGACTTCTCAGTTTGAAGAGACAGGTAATATGGATAAAATTATGAAATCTTCCATTTTGAAATTATATTTTAATATTCTGTGTGTATTTTACATTATAGCCAAAAGAACTGAGTTCTTTAGAAAGAAAACTTGATTTCCTGCTTTCTGTAATAAATTGCTCCTTTAAACATCTGATTTAATGAAATTCATTATAGCAGTAAATGTAGATGTAAAATGTAAATGTAGATGTAAAACTTATACATCAGCATCACAAGGAGGGTTTGTTAAAACAAACGCTGAGCCCCCACTTCAGAGCATTTGAATTTGAGCCTGAAAATGCCTGTTTCTAACAGTTCTAGGCTATGCAAATGCTGCTTATCCAGGAAGCATACTCTGAGAACCACCGCACTAGAAAAACAGAATTCCGAAACAATAGGAAATAATTTTTATACCTCTATTTGGGCATCTATTCATTAAAGACCACTTTTTTCTTATTGTATAATTAATTTTAAAGAAGGAGAAACATTTTCCTCCGTTTGAAATACAGTGAAGCTCTAAGTTAGTGAGTTCATTCTATGTAGATGTACCCAATTATTTTATTTTTTGCTGAATAAACCTGAAAACTCCAGAAAGAGAACACATCTCAGCCAGGTAAACAGCAAGCTACTGTCTCCTTCCCTGGACAAAGCCTAGTGAGTCATCATCCAAAGCAATGCAGGCACATTCACATTTCCTCATCAGTCCCCTTGTTCTTCAATACCTGATGTTTCTGCCTAGAACCAGTAGTGCTGACAGCTATTGAAAGTACCTTGTGTGCGCACAGGATCTGACATGGGACTTGGGTCACTGAGGCCTTGGGGGTTGATCGCTCTGACCATGAATAAGTAGATTGTATTGGGCCGCAGTCCTCTTACAGTATAGAGGGTGGTCTTTACATGGTTTGCCACGGTCTGCCAGCTATTGCTCACTGATTGGCTGAAACACGAACAGAAATTTCATTTAAAGAACAGTCGTTTGAATATTGGAAATGGAGTTGGGTATCAATGACAAAGTTAATGGCTGAAAATTAAACACACACACACACAACACTTGAAGTGTTCAGCCCAATAAATGAAACATTTGGATGATTTCAATTTATTCCACAACAAAGCCGAGCCCACCTAACGAAAGTGCCATGCACAACAAAATTAAACTCAGCCCAGGAGATGTGACAGCCCTTTGCTAATGCACAGCAGCCCACTAAATGAATACCTGTAAAAGGAACAGAGGCCAAGATCACAACATCAAGTTTATACAATAAGTATGGTCCTCGTAAATGTATATATATATATACCTTGAAAAGAATTAACCTGTAGAAAGAATAAATGGACTACAGAGTAAATTATGCCAATACATTTTCCTGTTACAAGGTGTGTTTTCTTTTGCATCAATTCCACATGCAATATTATAATAGAGCCTTCTAAAACTACATATCTGTAAAAGAAGAAAGGAAGCATGTAATGAATATTTTCCCTTGGTTACATTTTTAATAAAATTGTACATTACACAGTATTGTGATTTCTCATCTCAGAATGGTGAAATATCTCTGAATTTGTGTGTGAGGACCCTTTTACAGCCGGCCACAGATGGATGCCAGTTTAGAACAGTTTGCCTAAGGTCAAATGCCACTTTTGCTCAGAAGAAGGGGAAAATGTAATTTTCAGGGTGGTCAGTTTATTTTTCTGATATCCTTAACTATCCAAGCATAAGAATTATAGAAACATAGTATTTTGAAATTTGAAAATTAAGTACCTAGCATTACCTTAAATAATGATTAGAGAAGCCTTAAAAGAAAGTGATCATTTGTCCTAATGTTTAAAAAAAAAGTGGTTATCCATTAAAATTTATGATGTCACATAGACGCACATTTGAAAGGTAATATGAAAGCACATTTTACCATTTGTGTAAGCATTTTATCAAATTCTCATAAGACAATTTTATAATGATATTTGCTAATTTACATTTAAATCTTTAAATTGGCAACAATTATTTCAGATAACACATGGAAACATCTTTTCCATTAAGCAACACAAAGCACATGGAATAAATTTCTTAATTATTGTTTTTAATTTTCTCTCAGGCATATCTAATACATGTATGTAATATATGGTATAAAAACACGGGATTATTTTAAGTTCTGCTCTAGTCATGAGGAATAAAAATGCCAGAGTCCCCTGCTTCAATAAATATCGCATAACTTTAAAAAGTGCCTGTGCCTATGCCTGATTATATTATTTTCTACCCAGTTCTGATGCTTAAATTCTCACCTCAAATCCCTACAATGGTCTGGCTAAAGAAAGGAGCTAAGTGATTATGTTATGAACTGGATCCCTGTAGACCTAGGCATGAATAATGCATATTTAAATCTTATAATTAAGTTGTAAACTAAAAAAAAACTCTGTTCTTAAATAAATTCAGAGAGATCAGTTCTTAAAATGCATTGACTGGACATGTCTTTAATAAAACAGCAGGATAGTTCAGGTGACAGTTTAGAATACAGGAGCTAAAGCAAAAGCCCAACGGAGAAAAAAGGAATTGTCCCATACCTGAAAGCCTCAATGATATATGCACTTGCTGGAAGGGTTCCAGGGGTACCTGGTTGCCAGGACAAGGTGACACTGTTCTTAGTAACGTCAGTGACCTGCGGTTTGGATGGTGGCCCTGGCAGGTCATTTAAATCATAATTTTTACTGATTGTTGCTCCAGATTCTATAGAGGACAGACAGAAAAAACTTCATTCCTGATTGCATAAGTTGACAAAACTGCCTAAAAGCAGGAAACAGTCTACTAAAGGACTTGATGTAGACAGTGAGAAATTCATCTCCATGAATCGGAAGTATGTAAGTGAATATTTGCTTCTCCTACATGTTAATAACAGTTAGCTGTACTTTTACACATGATCATTAGAATTCCTTACACTTCAGAGGAAATAAAACAACAAGGTTATCAAGGACAAGTGTGTTAAATTCCACAAATGCAATGGTATGTGCAAACTCATGCATGAATTAAAAAACGGCATTGAATGTAAAGACTTAAATTTACATTCAGTGAATTAAACCCTTTGATCTCCCCTTAACTTATTATTTGATACTGAGCTATCCCTAAAAGGGCTCAAGCTTTCTCCCAATTCACAAAGTCCTCACCTGTCACGTCCAGCACTGCACTCCAGGAAGTCTCTCCACTTGAACTTGTAGCCACACAAGTGTAAGTGCCAGTATCAGAAATCTAGTGTGCAGAGAAGGGACAGAATGGTTTCGATCAATCTGTAGAATAATTACTCAATGACAACCAGGCAATGTTTAAATTCTTCAAATTAGATGTATCATTCTGCTGTCTGAATTATGCATTAGAGTCCATCATATGTATACATAAAATACTGAAATAAACTCATATAATGTTATTCATAACATTGATCCAAAGGGCTTTTAAAATGTATTTATGGACCTCAATGTTAATTTTTCTGATGAACTATTTGCCCCTCTCTTTTCTTCCTCCATGGTAATACTCTTACCTCCTAATTCCGTTTTATGGTGGGGCTCTGCTGCATCTACGTTGTTTAGGAACGATTCAGAACAGAACTCATTCAGAATCTTATAAAATTCCAAAGCAGCAGTAATGCAAAACTCTTCTGTCTCAAATAAACTATGTTTCAATGAATAAAATGTACCCAAGTATATAAGCAATAAGACAATAAGGGATCACACTTTCTTTCTTTTGAAAGACATGGAAAAAAATGAAAAAGAAAAAGAATTTTTTTTTTTTT